GACAATAAGCTGGAAAATATCTTGAAGGCCTCACTTGACAAAATTTTCAAAATCCTAATGACTAAATTCTTATTAATATGTGGCTCCTGTAACCTTAAAGTGGGGGATTTATTTACTGTCATTACAGAATAATAATTCAATCACCCTAAAATTGTCACAAAAATTTGATTATAGTAAAGACTTTACTCATTTTCATATACGATTTCGTTTCTGACAACATGGTTAAGCTCGAATTGATATATTCTAGTGGACTTGAAGTGGGATATCGATTTCTTACTCTCACTCAGTATGAACTGATCCTTCTGGAATTATTATGGAATATAATAACAGGAAAATTAAAATGAAAACGGTCACATGCCAAAACCTGATAATAAAACTACTAATAAAAATAAAACTAATAATAATAGAAATTTAATATGGGGCCAACTTTAAAATTTTGCTAAAAGCCGCTGGATGGCACATAGAAAACAGTATATAAAAACATTTTATTTTTTCGAGGTAAAAAGATATCTAGTTTCCACCTCTAGAGGACCATTTAATCCCTAGCGAATCACAAGTTAAAATGAACACTTCAGTACAAATACAAATGCTCTGGGCTTAACTATACACAGTCATGTGTAAGAAATCTCCCAACAGCTAAAAGGAAACTTCTCAAAATGCAAATCTCTCATAATTTTTCATATGAACTGTACATACATTTATGTAAAACCGCATCTTTTACATTCTTTCTGTTAAGTTTGCTAAGGCAATAAAATGTGTTGTGATTAAACAGCGCTTGTTTCCCTCTTGTTTGAAGAAACATATGCAGCCACAATTCTGTCAGCTAATATAACAACAGGCTTACGGCCATATCACGATGGGACACTGGATCTGGGTGACCATCGATGCTAAGCAGCGTTATTACCTAGATAGGTGACAGTCTTGGAATACCACTTGTTGTAAGTTTGAATGTGCAGGTGATGTAATGGATGACGGCTCGGGATAAGAAATCGGAATAGTAGAGTTCGAATTCTGGTCGGGTTTGTTGTATTGACACTGGACGATCAGGAATCGAAAAATGATCGTCCAAGCGTATCACATCCGCACATACCAACATGCATAAGGCCAGCGTGGCAGAGTAATGGCCCATTCCTCTCCATGAATCTGGCGGGAGTGGAGGGCGAAGGATTACGTACGACGAAGAAGTAAAAGACGGCGGCAAGGCCACCTTTCTTACTATATATATATATATAAAATGTCATCTACATACAGGCCGGTTTCGCTGTATCACAGCTCATCAGTGCGGCTAGACATCCGATTGCTTCAAGCCGGGACCGAAACCCGACCGGTTTAGCATCAGTCGGAGTTTCTACCCATAAGCACGGCAGAAAGAAAGGGAAATTCTAGCGTATTATTTTTTTTACGAATGTAAACAAACGCCAGTCAGCCAGAGTGCTCAATTCATTTTCAATGAAGATTCAAGAATTGCGTATCTCAAGGCCCCATTGAAAAAGATTTCCCTTTCTTCTATAGGATTTAGTGAAAAGTGTAATCCTTCACAATTGGTCTCTGCATCTTCTGAGTCCGACACTCATTTTATATATGCCGCCATACATTATAGTATGGTTGAACTTGCAAATGATGTACAACAGTCTATTCTAGTCCCTATGAGCCTATGCGCAGGGTGCGATGTGTAAATTGTCGTCTAAATTACGCAAAAATGAAAATAACACTGGTATCTCATTTTAACAGATATATTAACCAAAATGACACAAAAATATCTTGGAACACTAAAGAGTATTTTTATTCAATAAAATCGCCATTGATTTCAACCACGGCCTCCAGACGACTTCGGAATCACCTGCAACTCTTCTGGGTTGTTCCCTTGTTTAAGTTGCTGAATGCTACCATAATTCTTGCCTTCAGTTCATCTTGAGTGTTATAAGGAATTTTGTTGGTCTCTCTCACAACTGCGCCCCACACATAATAAACAAAGGGGCAGCATTCTGGGAGTTAGCTAGCCAGATGAAAGGGTGATGTGGTCGCAGAAATTGTCCGACAGGCATGAGTCCTGTTGCCAGACATATGGTCTTCCAGCAGCTATCTTCTTGACCCATGGCAGCACTACCTCCGCAAAGCACTTGATGTAGGCCTTCGTGATGAGTGCGAGGCCCTGTGAGAAGAAGAATGGAGGCATAACGTCGCCATCAATAGTAATCACCCAAAACATCTTTGTAATTACCGTTAGACTCATCCAACTCTTTCTGAATCCACTGTGCTGTTCCCAGATTCAAATCCAAACACTCTTGAAATGTTCATATTGAAGCTTCCGGTGCAAATGCCAAGCAGTACAGCATGCCGTTTCCAAATTTCTGGCGGAATGAATGGAGTCATGATGCAACTTTACTCACAAAAAGCAGAGTAAGTCCGGGTGTGCTATGGTAGAAATGTTTGCTTGACTCATTAAACCCAGGGAAACGCTAATTATATAAATTTCTATTGACGTGTACAAGCAAATGCAATCGAACGTACTGATAAAAGAAAGATATAATAATATGAAAGAACAATGATATTTAGAATTCAAACTTCTTTGCATATATATATATATATATATATATATATATATATATATTCATTGAAAAATAGATCCCTACCCCTTACCAAAATGTAGCTAATAACCGATACAATGATACAGACATATGGAAAACCCAGACACCCCTTATCCAGTTGAAGTAGATTTATCTGTAACCATGGAAACGTGATTTTAGCTGTGTCTTTCTCCCAGTAATTTTAAAAGTTACTCCAAAATTTGCTTGAGGATGAAATGGAACTAATGTCTTTAATTTAATTGCAAAATTAAATTCGTGGCTTTTAGCTTCCATTTTTGAAACATGTTAGAACTGTGTAGCAGAAAAAATCCTATTTTAAATTATATATATATATATATATATATATATATATATATATATATATATATATATAACAAGCTATAAGATAAAAGTTTTAGTGGAAAAAGTACTAAATATAAATTGGATTACTCTTTCAATGTTCTGTCTATGGATTTTTCCAATCGACTGCTTCATAGAAAATACACAAAACTCCACCGAATTTCAAATTTCTTCGTAGATTGTTTTAAGATTTAGATATTTATCAAACCTTAACCTCCCAAATATGCACGTTAAAGTAACGCGAATTGACAGCGTCCAAGAATTTGAATGAAACCTGTCGTGTAATTTATTGGGGTTATTGTAACGTCTTCCTTAATGTAGTCCTTATAGCTCACCACCTTTATCTAGAGACGAGACGCGTTAGATTTGAGCAACATCCAGCCGACACACTGGGGTTAAAATAGGAAACTAAAATGATACATATGACACACTCATATCCTCTTTCCCACCTCACTTCCTCAACTTTGCGTATACTTGATGAGGTCCGTAAAAAACGTGTGAATTTCTTTTCATTTTAGCTTTTGGAAGTAAAATCTGATGATCCAGAACCCTGTTAAAGGGGTTATGGTGAAATAGCTTATTACATGGAATCTTAACGTAGTCTGTCTTTTATTCAAACATATCTGCTCTGAATTTCACATTGAGCTCTCTGGATATCATCCTCCTCAGGTCTACCCATACGGATTACCTAAATTTGCATAAACTATATATATATATATATATATATATATATATATATATATATATATATATATAAATATTATCACCGACATTCCCATGTTTCAAAACTGAAAATTAAATTAAATCATAAAAATTAAACTTAAAATGCAGAGTTCCGTTCAATCATCAAGCTGTGCTAAAAAAAAATTCTTAGCATCGTTTGATATCATTATACAATAAAATCTAAAATTACCTCATCTGGGCGGGGAGGGGTACAGATCGATTTCAACTGACGAATTAGAAATTTAACTTTTAAATTTTTAATTCCGACACGAAACAGCTTATATACCGGTGTTGAATAAAACTGACGATGTTTTCCTCGGTTGAAATATCTATCTCCCAAATAAGGTAATTTTAGATTGTGTGTATATATATATATATATATATATATATATATATATATATATATATATATATATATGTGTGTGTGTGTGTGTGTGTGTGTGTGCATGTCATTTCTACTTTAAAATGATGAGATCTCACCGTCTAGTCAGTCAGTTAAGTGACATACGTGAGACACGGTTGGGCGATCATGTATCTCTCGATACATGATTGACGAGGCAAATTTCCCCCCTCCCCACATTGCCAGACTGGTTGCCAACCAAGACTAAAGAACCCAGTCTGTCCTGCTATTCAACCTATAGCTGGATTCATACCTTTTCCAAAGGGTATTTGCGCGTAGGTGAATCTAATAAACTCGACTGGAATTCGAACTCAGCTCTCAGAGTTCTCACTCGAGGCCGATATCCATTACACCACAACGCACATCCACCGTCTATTAATGCGTTTAAACTCAGGAAGTCTAGGTAACATGAAAATATTTATTTATTTTAAAAAAAAAAAAAAAAAGCGAAGAGAAGCTACGATATAGCGATGGGAAAGTGACTAAATGCCAGGTCATGACCAATAACATTGCGTATTTTTCTTCAATTTTAAATTTGGAGTTTCTTTCCACCCACTAATATATATATATATATATATATATACTATTATTTTGGCGGGAGCAGTTTCTAATTTGTTTATTACTTCATGTATTTATTTGGATTGATTATCTTTATTTGTTTTTTTTTCAAACTGTTACTTTATCGGGATCGGTTTGTTAGTTTATTTATTTGGATGAATTTAGATTAATTGTTTTTTTTTTTTAATTTATTTATTATACTGTATATTTTTATTTACACTGTTCGGTTTTCGATTTTTAAGTTGCGTAGTATTTATTTTCCTTTTATCGTTATATAACAGTTACAGCTATCCGTGGCTGACGATTGCGTATAGCGTGGAACAGACTGTCGCCTCTAAGTGTTGACTTCTCTGTTCACTTTTATATTTACACAAGCTCTATCTGATATTGGC